CGTAAAACATAAGCAATACTGCCTACCAAAACATCTTTGGAACGAGGTCGTGTACCGACTACACAACTCGCGAACCGGTGGACATCTGGGAATGACAAGGACCACAGAAGAGTTCAGAAAACGATTCTACCTTCCAGGATTCACCGAATTTTTAACTAACACAATCAAAAATTGCTTAACATGCTTGCAACTCAAAAGAGCATCTGCAAAATATCAAATTCCGCCATTGCAACCAATCTCGTCATTGCAATGTTTTCCTGGAGACATGATGCAAATCGATATCGTTGGACCACTGAAGTCACCAGTGTACAAATTTGTATTAACTGGAATCGATGTCTTCTCGAAATACTTGTTTGCAGCACCATTGACAAACGCTAGCGCTGATACAGTAGCAAGGGAACTCACGAAAATATTTTTCATGCACAGCTACATACCGAAAAAGATCATAGCAGATCTCGGAACGACATTCACGTCAGAACTAATGCATGAATTGAGAACTCTATTAGAAGTTCAAATCAACCACGCAACGCTGAAACATCCACAATCAATTGGTCTTGTCGAGCGATCTCATGGACCTCTAAAAAGGATCTTGAAGCTGAATACTAATGAACAATGGTCAGACTGGCACAAATATGTCCCATTGGCAACATTCATTCACAATACGTCGTACTCTTCATCAATTGGATGCTGCCCTAGCTCCATTTTTCATGGAAGAGAACCAACAAAACCACTTGATCTTCGCTTTTCGACGAAAGCAATGGAATCAGTAACAGCAGAATCAGACTTCGTTACGGCAATGCAAGACGCGATGCTAGAAAAGTTCAAAGAAACAAAAAAGAACTTGATTTCTTCGTACCACAAGTATCGAGGATATTACGATCAAAAGGCACTTGCGCAGCCTCTCACAGTCGAATCATTTTGTTTACTACTAAATCCTCTGCTGACTACACAGTCAGACTTTGGAAGCAAATCAATGCAAGTCTGGATACCCCTGTACAGAGTTGAGAAAGTGTTAACAAATTCGAACTATATAATTCGGAAAGTTGGAACTAACTACACCCAATGTGTGCACCGAATTCGTCTCAGACCAGTTGATCCACAGCATCAACCAGAAGATCTCAATCCAATAGACCCAACGAAGTTTCAAACGGATCCTTCACTCGGAAAATACCGAAGCGAACCAGGACTTTTCGACGAAAACTTGCCGAAACTCTTAGATGAGATCCAACCTGATAATCCTGACGAAACCGATCAACCAGCCGCACCAGCTAGAATCAGACTATCAGTGCCCCTTGGAGCGCCAGCAGTTGCAGCAGCACCTGCACCGATGCCAATTCCAGCAGCACCAATAGTGGTACCATTACCGGTCCCAGTACCAGTAATACCACCACCGCCGGATCCACCCCCAATCCCAGGAGCAGTACATGTGCATGAATTACCACTCGCTGAACTACCAGCAGCGCCACCAATGGATATCATTGATGAACAGGTCACTGACAGATTAACCAGTAACAACTCTGATCCTGAGGGATACAACCTCGACGAATTGTTTCGCGAACCACAGCCAGTTGTCAGACGAAAAGCAGCAGCTGAAGCTAGAGACCGAATTCACGCCCAAATTCGGTTTAGTAATGATGTTCGATATCACCCAATACCCAGCCGCCCAAAACAACCGCGAAAGTATGGACTCCGAACCGTTGACGGACACGAAGTGGCCCCAGTTACATTCATTCCACGATCAACGCAAAAGGACAATAAAGCAAACATACGAAAGAAAGCGGAGGCGGCGAATGAAGACTTTCCTTCACGGGATTCGAAAAGGAACATTATTATGGACAGCGTTAAACGAGCGAAACAATTCACTAAACAAAAAGATGGACCTGGAAGCAGCAAACACTCGGTAAATGCAATATATGAAACAAATATCTTTGTGGGATCAGGTGATGTCCTACAGTTCCCTGGCTCTATAGCTCACTGCGTCTCAAGTGACTTTCAAATGGCAAAAGGAGTAGCACAGCAGATCAGCAGCGCCTACCCATGCATCAAACCAACCCTAAAAAGCATTGAAACACCGATAGTTGGATCATCAGTTTCAGTTTCTTTGCCTTGGGAAAACAAGTCAATTTTCAATTTAGTCACAAAACAACAATTTTTTGACAAGCCAACATACTACGATGTGTCAAGAAGCCTCAACTGCATGAAGCAGCAGCTATTGCAGAAGGGAATAAACGCTATAGCCATGCCGAAAATCGGATGTGGACTCGACAAATTGAAAGAAAGCAGAGTTTTCAGCCTAATTTGCGACATTTTCGAAAAAACGAACATCAAAATCTTTATTTATGTGTGACGAAAAATCACGATATCAGCTAGTAACGTTCATGCATGCATTCTTAACAATTGAAGCTCCAAAACCACCCAATCGATACAATTGAAGTCACGAAAAAACCAAAATAAAACAGAAAAAGTATAAAATTCCGAGAAAACTCTCATTTCCTCAAGTTGAGCTTTTCTGAAAAACTGACACCCAAGTCGAAATATACGTAATGCAACCGCTTTGAACCCGTGGAATACCTTCAAGGCCCAACTAGGACTCGTGCAGGAAGTGGGTCCACTAGCAGATCACAACTACATGAAGATCTCGAAAAATCCACCTGTTGCCAACGTTTAAACATCACGAATAAAAAGATTCTGCTCCCCCCAAAAATATTAGCTAGAGAAGAACGAAATTTTTTGGGCTCAGTAATCATAGGACCACCAATAAGGAACAGGCAGGAAGTCGGTCCACTAGCAGATCACAACTTCATGAAGATCTCGAAAAATCCACCTGTTGCCAACGTTTAAACATCACGAATAAAAAGATTCTGCTCCCCCCAAAAATATTAGCTAGAGAAGAACGAAATTTTTTGGGCTCAGTAATCATAGGACCACCAATAAGGAACAGGCAGGAAGTCGGTCCACTAGCAGATCACAACTTCATGAAGATCTCGAAAAATCCACCTGTTGCCAACGTTTAAACATTACGAATAAAAAGATTCTGCTCCCCCCAAAAATATTAGCTAGAGAAGAAAGAAATTTTTTGGGCTCAGTAATCATTAGACCACCAATAAGGAACAGGCAGGAAGTCGATCCACTATCAGATCAAAATTTGGAGAAATACATCAATTTACACTATTCCCATGTATTATGATAGGCAAAACAAGAAAAAATATAAAATTCGAGGGATATCTTCGCAGAAATTCAGAAAGAAAGTGTTCAAATGAGCCAACAAACATCCAATGTGCTTGTTAGGCAACCCTAAAAGGTTGTCAGTGATACTGAAGAACAACACGCGAATCTTGAATGCCAAGAAGATATCAAAAAAAGATAAACGAAATTAATGAAAAAAAAAAAAAAAAGTAATTTATCAACTACTCTAACTGACGCCAAATTTTGCTCAGGCGAACCAGCAAATTGTCTGAATAGCCTATAGGAGTGAAGTGCAGCTACAGTAGAAGAAAAGAATTGAAAAAAAAAGCCAGACACTACACACAATACGATGATCGCGATCAATGCACATCACTGTTAAGTTGTTGATAATCAATTCACAATCTATGAGGCAACGATTGGAACCACACCGCCTCATATCAAAAAGACTTCAGCTTCAAACGAGCACAAAAAGAATGAAAGGCAACAACGAACGAAGACAGCGATATCAAAAATTAAAACGAAACGACGACCAAAACTATTCAGCTACTCCACACGACAGTTCTTGCCGTGGAAATTTAGTTACAGTTGACAACTGAATACATCATGATATCATTAATCTATCCTTATCATCTATCACTTTAACTCCCATACCCCGACTCAAGGTGGCTTGCTTAAAAATTATCTCCCATTTAAGTTTAAAATAATTTATCTTCTCTCGTTTTATAAATTGAATTAATAAACTGTGCTTCTAATACTATGAGTTTATTAAATTATTGCGATATAACTTTTGATAGACCCATACCATATTGATACTTGTACATATTCTTAATCAAAGCAGTCTTAAATTATTATGTGAATTATTGTAAATGTATCTGATGAAACACTTCAACCACCCGGGAAGACTTCTTCTTGTGAGGTTGTGTGACATCCCTTCATGATGTCATTCATTCTAATTAACCATCTCAACCGAATAGATTACATAATTCACCTTGATGTTAAAATAGAGCTGCATCATATATTTATTTAACTATGTAAACATTGATGGTAATTAATACCAATCAGAGGAGAGTTATACCGAGCTACGAATCAATTGAATAGAAATCAACTTAATAAACTATTCCAATAATGCTCTTACTTGCGCCGATCGACTTGCGGAATATCAGAAGCTAGGAATCGGAACCAGCATCCTTTAAAGCAAGATAGGTCTTTACCGCTCGAGACATATCTAAATAATGAATCCAATCATCTAAATATAATTGATAGCCAGTAGTGCTAAATAACATTACCAATTGAACAGCTCGCATAACAGTAGACGACAGTATACCCGTATTATCCATCCGCCAGATACGGTATATTATACGCGCCAATCAGTGTTCGGTTCAAGTCAGCTTTTATTCCATTTATAATTTATAATTGCCAAAAATTATCCGCAATGGTACCCTTCAAAAGTTATACGTTATGAGACGTGTACTATATGAGACTTCACCTTCCGTTATATCCCCTCATTTGATTCTGCTAACGTATAAACGCTTCATTTCTCACAGATACAACCTGCAGTTGATAAAGCGTGAAATGAAGCAGAGTAAACAACCAGACAAGTAATTCTAATTCCTCGGACCTAGTCGCACTAGGGTTTAAAATGAGAAAGTTTGGCTGAAAAAAAGCAGATACGAAAACAGATGCGACGTTTCAAAAGGGAAGTGCCCGAACCGAAATAAGATAGTCATAAATGGCCTGCTGAAGCGTTTGAAAGGGAAATTTTGCATGGCTTGTATGGTCATCGGCAGTGTTCATAACAGTTATTTTCTATTTAGTTACTGCATATGTACTCAGCTCGGAGTTGGTCGGAATCATTCTAACGTTGGGGTCAGGACAACAAATTTTTGGAAATACAGGTGAGTCGTTGTTTTCAATTCGATATCAACCTTTTGCCATACCCGATTTTAAGCAGAATAATTAACTGAACTGGATCTTGTTTCAAAATAACAAAATCATGTCGGAAATAAGATGACTGATAAAATTTCGTTTTTTTTTGCGAGCATCGTCTGGCAAGTTTCTATTCTCCTGCTAATTTTAAAAGTATTTGGTCATCTTAGGTTCTGGAGGAGCCCAAACCCTTCAGACGTTCTCTGGCTCAGTATCATCAGTTACAACGTACTCTAACTCGAATGGTGCCGTCTGTGGAATTCGGATAGCACACGGGGGTTCCAGTGACATAGTCCATGGCTGTAGCTCTAATGCAGCTACTGTGACGATAGACTCTGACTTCGGATTCGCTGGATTCTCCGGTCTGCAATTAACGAGTGGGGCTGGAGATTTTGTTCTTTATCCATTGCAATACCGTAAGATGATTTCGTATTCAACTAATAAACGTACCTATTTGCACTAGATACCTTTTGATGTTGAATGAAATGGGACGCAAAAAATTATTATTGACAACTAAGCTAGTTGAAGTGTTGAATAAATTATAAACTGTGTAAAGAGGCATTTTTAACAGTCTTGTTGTTTTTATAATGTAACTGCAGATTTGTTAAAACTATACTCTAAAGCTAATGGATATTATAAATAAATATGCTTAAAACTAATTTGGAAAACAAATTGTAGGCTGCTGATTACATGATTTCATTTTAAAAGTATTTCCCAAAATGAGGTTCTATCTAATTGAATATTTTTTATTTTTCAGAACTTTTGCATCCTCGGGTCGTCTCGTGGACTGCCACCGACAGTTCAATTCACTTCAATTACAACGTTTTCTGGCCTACAAGCCAAGTTACAGTGAACTACAACTCAAGAGCCACTCGCAACGCAGACTTATCACTTGCTTACGTCACAGCCACGCCCGATACTCTGACACTAAATGGGGTTACTGTGAATGACGTCACCAGTTTTCCGTTTTCCTCCGAAGTTGAAATAAATGAAGGGTTGATGCCATGTTCGCCTATGAGTTTGACTCTGCAATCTGTCAGTGTAAATGGGAGGGTGTTCAAAGAGCAAGAATACTTCGCATGGACTTGTAAGGCTAATTGACTATTTATCAACTTAATCTTATTGTTTTCATCTTTTTTATTAACTTCAATAAGTATATTTCTAATTTTTGAACTTTTTATATGTTCCATTGTACGATTTTCTACTGTTTTTTTTGCGTGATCTGCTTTTAAATCTCCCATATTTTCGCCCCGAAAGCGCCTTCAGACAGTTTGAACAAATAGTAAAATAGTTTGCGTATTTGAAAAATATTTTTCATCCGTTTTTATGAAAACTGTGGATGCAACTTGGCTCCTAAATGTGCTACTTGTTTTCAATAGTTTGAAATGAGGCAAAGTGATGATTCGATGGTTATAGTTTTTTCTTTTTGATGTTTACTAAACTTGCATAGACCAAAATATATGCATTAAAGAAGGCGTTCAAAAGATTTGGCTTTTAATAACTCGTAATGCGGTTATTTTATTGTACCATTATGCCATATATACGTAAGATCGCCGTCTTAAGTTGGTTCTTTATATTTTTAACTTGATTGTACTAATGCAAGCTGTGTTTTGTAAAACTACAAAATGGAATATGTAGATTGAATTTTTTCTTTAGCTGTAGAAAATGAGAAGTTTTATGATATCTCAGAGTTCTCACTTCTATTTGTGCCGCCTGAAAAGTGATTTTAATTGAGAGTGTGATAGATTTAAAAGTCGATTGAATGCACAAAAGGTGAAGTTTGATTGAAGTTTAAATTACATATTAAGCCATTGTTATTAAGATAATGAACAGCAGGGGACCGAGACGCATGGGGACTCTTGATTTTTATGCCTCTAAACGCCTATTTTTTTGGTCTGGGCAGTTTTGCTATTGTTATTTTTCTTTTTTTTTTTGCAGTAGAAAGACAGGCTTTATAAACTTCAGACAAGCTTTGTATGCAAAAAATGACGTTTTTTAAACACGATGAAAGTTTGAAAGATTTAGAAGATTCTCTGAAGCGTTCAATGTGTTTCAGATGGACTCCAAGTGACCAATACATCGACAGTGCAAATAGCCGATGCAGTCTCGGGAACAACCTTCACGTCCAGACCTACTTACTATTCACAGTTGGCAGATGACCAGACATGTGATGAGATATACCCGGTGGATTTTGGATTGTCTAATAACCAGTTATACGTCAATGGGTTGGATCTGGGTGGGACATTCTCGGGAACAGCTACGAGTCTCACCAACCAAATCATCAATAAGGCTAGAAATTTCAACGATGATTCCAAACGGCTCTTGTATCCGCTTGTCAATAATGAAAATGGCAGTTTGAACAAGACCAAAACGTTACTTGCTAGTTGTTGTAGATTTAGTCTATGGACAAGGGGAAGAAAAACTTCATATCTTGTTCTGATTGGCTGATGTTTTGACCGGGGGAACTAAAAAAACTTTTAGAGGTTTTTGGGCTAGCTGTAAACCTTCTTCGGTGTCATAAAATGGCTCTCCGTTGCAAGAGAGGTAGCTTATACCCCGTAGCCGACTTTTTGGTTAGTGTATATGCCTTGGCTGGAAAACAATTTTTTCATCTGTCGAATGACTCGTAGTTTAGTCTATGGTGCAAGGGGTTCAGAATTGAGAGAGTGCAGATCTAGTTCTTTGCTCAGATTTACTTTAAAGGCTGATATTGACAAATTGTTTCAACTTTTTGAAATCAACATACTTGAATGTTTTATTATTTTAAACATCTCGTTTTACGCAACTCAGAATTAGAATTGGCGAACTATATTTGAAAAAAGTGAACTCGGACATAACACAGGAGTAATATAGTTCGCCAATTCTAATTCTATGTTAATTTCTGGTTTTGAGTTTGTCGCAAACTGGAGTTTCTGTTTTGCGTTTTCAATGCTTAATCTCTTTCAAACTGTATTACCATATTTTGCTAACTTCTAGAGCTTCTATTTGTGGCTTGTGATTGCCAAGTTTAGTTTCGCCTCTGTATAGAAAATTGTGACGTCGTTAGTTGTATTTTCAATTGATTTAAGGGTGGTAAACATGTCTAGTCGCTGTTTACATGTCTGGTCACTCATCACATTTTCTCTGTTCAGTTTAATTGCCATACATGCATATAAAACAACGCTAAACTACCACCGTTATGGTGACTATGAATACACGCCATTGTAATTTTTATACCATCCGAAAGATATTGATGTCTTGTGCTCGAATTTCTATCCTGAGATAATTTTTTTCTTCGAAGAAAGTAACAGATTATTTTTGCTTGGAGTGGTTTTTTAATCAGACCAATTTCGGCAGCCGAGAGAATATTTTTAACGATTTTTCACCCCACTGGAAGCATAAAGAAAGAAAGAATTTATTTATCATTATTAATGGTAAATACGCATATAACGAGAATTTAAACATGAAGCACCAAAAACAAAAAGGGGACAGTTAACGAACCCAATTGTGTTACAGAGCACCTCCCGTTTTATCAATTGAAATACTTAATTTGAGATCTTCAAAGAAAAGGAGAAAAATATATATCTGAAAACATAAAAGAAAACATTGGAAAAAAAATTATAGTTTGAATAAACAAAAAGCAGCAGATTTATGGCATTGTCTATTGTTATGGTTAATGACATAGGGTCCACGCTCTGCGTCAATTTTTAAAATGGTTGTTGAATTGTAGTCGGTGTAAAACCATTTTAAATAAGAAAAGAGTTCAAATTCATGCGGCAGTAACCAGCAAACAAGCCCAAGTGTGGTTTTCAAAATGCCGGGACGCAATGAAAACAATATGAAATTATATTTTCAAAAAACTTGAAACATGCATGCACTCCACATCTGTCATGCTCCGGCATTATCCTTGCATCCAAAAAAATGTCAACAAAAAACAAATTTGATCAGCTTTTCACTGCTTAATATAAACAAAACCTGAATTTCGTGGCCGATGCGTTGAATATCTGATTTAGAAACTTGATCGAAAATTTTTGGAAATAGGGAATTTTGTCTAAGTATATTAAAGAGCTTAGCTGCTCTGTAACTGAATGAAGCTCTTGAGTTTTGCTTTCGAAATAAGGAGTTTTCATTGAATTAAAAAACGACGGTTTATCAAATGCAAAAAGCTCACTTAAAAAAGTTTCAGAATGCAATCCTGCGATTGATCGCAAGACAAATTTAAAGAATTTATACAGATGCAGCTCGGAAACGTTAAAAAATTTTCATCATTAAAAATTTGTCGAATGCTTTCATTTTTTCTTTCGAAAAAAATCAATCGAATAATTTTTTTTGGATCAAAAAAGGGGTAAAGGTTTGTGTAGGAAGTGCAACCAAACACCAATATTCCCTTTTGAAAAATGGGCTTAATATTAGAGCCATAATATTCAGTCATAACAGTTTTGGGACAATAATGACGCATTTTTCGAAACAATGCAACATTGTTTTCTAAGCTTAGACCGTATGAAATTAATGTGAGATTCAAATGATAATTTAGCATCTACATAAACAACAAGATCTTTGCATGACCCGTCAATTTTCAAAGGTATGCTATTTATATACAGTTGCTGGTTGGAAGAACTGTTACGAGATGCAGTAACTTATACCGTGTTGTCCACATTTAGAGGTAATATATTCAAAATTAACCACTTATTCATAGCTCCTAAGTCTTGATTGAAGCTCTCAAACGAGCAGTTTAGACCATTGATGTTTGTGTCGTCGGCAAATAGAAAAACTTTGCTAAATGTGCAGACTTTTGGAAGGTCGTTTCTTTCTATGAGAAATAGCGAGGCCCCAAAATGGATCCCTGCGGGACACCACATTCCAGATTTCGCCACGGTGATCGCGTTTCACCAATTTGAACAACTTGTTTGCGGTGCTTCAAAAGAATTTTAAACCAAAGTAATTTTTTTCCACTGACACCCTGACATTTCTAACTTATGAAAAAGAATCTCATGATCCATCATGTCAAAAGCTTTTTTAGAGCAAGAAAAACTGTTTTCTGGGTGATTTAGTTTCATCCAAGCGACATTTCTCTGTTACTTTGGCACTTCGGCAATAGCATCAATGGTACTGTTTTTTCCGGAAACCAAATTCTTTGACATAAATGAGTTAGTTTCTTTCAAGATAGCTGTACACTCGGTTGTACATTTCTCGTTCAAATTTCATACTCCAGGTTACAAGAAGTGATATTGGTCGATAATTACTGACATCCAATTTCGATCCTGCTTTATATAAAAGATATACTACCGCTTGAGCTAGAGCGGTTGGAAAACATTCTGAATTGAAGGATAGTTCAACGTGTTTTTTCAAGAAGCAAACAATTGCGAATGAGCTAGCTTTAGCTATTAGGTTACTAATTCCGTCTATTCCAGAAGATAATTTGTTTTGTAACGCTGAAAGATTGTTTTCAGTTTCAGATTCAGTGATTAAATTTGAACGCATGCAAAAGGAGGCTCAAAATAAGGTATTTGAGTAGCTAAATGACTGCCAATAGAAGAAAAATAGTCGTTGAACTCATTTGCGATAGCTAGTTTATCGCTAACAACGTCGCCACTACTTTCATTTACCTAAACTATTGTTCTATTTGATGTATTTGCTGTACCCTTCAAATCATCTAGAAAACTGTATGTTTTCCTTGAGTCACCAATACAATTTTTGAATTTTTTATAGTAAAACTTTTTTTTTACATTTCTTAATTTCATTTCTAACTTTACTCCTGGCAGATTTAAAACAAAATCTTGCTCTAATAATATTTTTATTTTTTGACCAAGCTTTTTGAAGTCTGTTACGCTTGGGTATTAAGTTTTTTTTAATGATTGCACCACCAGAGGCAGTCAACGTTTCGTTTCTTGGTTTTTGATATTCTAAGCGGCGCATATTTATTTAAAATTTAATCGTATCTCATTTGAAAGTCTTCAAAGAAGTCATTAACTGAGGA